TTGTTAGCATTACTGTAAATATGTTTTGTGCTTATGGTAAAATTATTTTCCCCAGAGAACAATATCTTTATGAGAAGCAAGTAGATCTCTAATATAATGTTATTATTGAATATTAATTTTTTTTTCTAATTTAGACTTACACAACAAGGGAATTTTTTGTCAAGTGGCGTGAAAAATCATATTGGCATTGTTCTTGGATCACTGAGCTGCAGGTAGTTCATGTTAAATATAACRATAATGAATAGTTCAAGGATAGGATAGTTGAAAGTTCAAGGATTCTTTGTCTTGGCAGCCACCAAAAACCTCTATTGTTAAAATAATGAGTTCCACTGAAGAAATAGAAAATGCATGGACAKGCCGTGCAGTCATGAAGCATGTGGAGATTGGCAAAAAAAGAGAGAAGAAGTAGGAGAATCACGAAATGCATTTTTCTCATTTTCTTTCATAAAAAATTAGCATGAATGCTATTTTGCTGCATGAATGCTATTTTGCTGCATGAATGATGCAAGTGCTCATGCATGCTGTGTGCTCTCATAAAGCACAGGTCCCAACCAATCGGAATGCAATATTTATTAATAAACTGTCATTTTTTATGATTAATTCAATGATAAAAAATMATTTAATTTATTGTTCTAAAACAAGGTTCGTATAAGTTTGAGCATTGTAGCCGAGGGAGATAAATCAGCAGCTAAATTATTAGCAGCAACAGCAAAAAAACTTCAAGTTCATGGTCAATGAGTAAAATGTATTCATTATAATAATAATATTGTAATTATKACAATATAACTTACTTTCACCACTCCTTTTCATGATAGCTTGAGATACAACACCCAGAGATGTACCGGGCATATTCCCGTAAAAACGACATGGATGAGCCACCAYTGCTAAGTGATGATGAGAGTGATAGCCTAGAAGATGGAGAACAGCCCAGCCCCAAAAAATCTAAAGCTAAAGAAGAAGATAAACTGAACTTAGAAGCAAGATATTACAGATTTGGTGTCAGCCCTGACTGGATGCAAATATATAGGATTCTTAACCATAGGTATACTTGATTATTGGTGTTTCTAAATAAAAAGGCAGCAAAATGGCGCCAAATATCTGAATTATCTTGTATTGGCAGAGTACTCTTGTGATTACCTTTCTTGATATTCTTTTTTTAGGACCCAAAATGGAAAACAAGAATACTTTGTCAAGTGGAGAGATGTACCATACAGTTTAAGTACATGGGAGAGCCCTGAAGACCCCATAAACTCCCAGATAAGGTACTACTCAATAAACCAACCTTTTGCAGTGAYTGTGTCCTATGTCCTATGCTATGACTTTTTATGGAAGTCATAAATATGTTTCTACGTAGTGTTTAAAAAACGAGTAGGAGTGTTTTATCAGGTATACCTGATAAAACACRATCTACGAGTTTTTTGAACTGCTTAAAACACTCATGAACAATTTATAAGATTTTGGTTCAACTRRAGCCGCCATACACGTCACGAACATGGATTTTTATACTTCGATAGAGATTTGACGTCACGGGCATGCGCAACCAGATTCAATAGAAGCTCCCACACGTTGGATATTGCGTGCCAAGGCAAAGACAGGCATGTTAGTCAAAGATCATTAGGGTTGACTATGACCTTGATGAAGCTCTATGTCTTCATCTAAACTTGGATGCATACTTCATCCCTGATGAAGTCATCCTCATAGTATTCGAGTGGTCTTTATATAAAGATCACGTGTGTCTTTATATAAAGACATGTGTCTTTATATAAAATCACTTGAATACTAATGAAGAGGACTTTATCAGGTATAAAGGTTCATGCATGTGACGTGTATGGGGGCTCCAATTGGACCATAAGCTTATGAATTATTGATGAGTGTTTTAAAGTAATATTAATTGGAGTGGTTTGAGAAATAATTATTTTTTTGATTTGTTTTTTTTAAAGTGATTTTGAAGAGCACATCATAAAGTACCGTGCCCTCAGGTAAGAGCAATAAGTTAAGAATGCTCTAGACATGTGATATCTTATAAATATTGGTGGTGTAACAGAGCAACAGGTTACTCAAAACTGTGATACCCAGTATGGATCAAGGGGAGACTAAAATAACTGTATCTTGCAGTTGTGTCAGTCTTCTTTAGTCAGTGGCAATTTAATTTTCTTGTGTACATAAAACTTCAGGGAAAACTATGATAAAAGACTAAGGAACAAGAAAAGCAAACACAAGAAAGGAAAGAAACAGGCAACAACTGCCGACGTAAGTAAACTGAACAAAAATACTGTTTATGGCAAGTATGAATGAAAGGGGTGAGAAAATACATAATAATTTAGTATTTTTCTGTCAATCTAAAAACCCAACCTTCTACTTTCAGTCATTAATAATAGTGTGTCTTAGTATAGCCCTGAATGAAGGGTATTCCTTAGCATTAAGGTTATTTCACATTGTGATAAAGACGATGTCTGGTTTAGTTTGGCTTTTTAGCTTATTCATACATCATTTTGTGTAATGGGTATTCAGTGAAMCTTTAAGTCTGCAACTGTAATAATTGAAAAAAATAGTTTATAGAACCCTTGTTGATACATTTTTATTCTTGATTCTGCTATGTTGATTCTATGTATAATAATATATTTCATAATAATTATAATTTCCTTCAATTCCTTTAACTTGACAAAGTAATACCTAACATTTTTAGCAAAATATAATTTATAATACCGATTGCCAATGCATTGTCATTATGTTTTAATAACTTTGGTTTGATAAGAAGATAAAGATAAAATAATAATAAATTTAAATYAATTAAATAAATGTTATTTTCATTAGCCATTTGACCTAAACGCTATCTAACCTCTGCTTCAATAGATGTTTTTTGGAGATAGTGAATGTGATGCATTGTGGTCTAGCTTGAGTACTCCATATTTTCCTGTAGTTTTGTTCATTATGTCTTACATGGTGTTGTTTGTACCCAAGCTAGACCATAATGCACCATGTTCACTGTCTTGTTAAAGATCCATTAGTCCACTGCCAAAAACACTCACCTTGGGGGTGCGATTGCAAAATCAGTCGACCTTGCAACACTACAATCATAGAGTGCTTGCACTTGCTGATATCTTAATCTCTTAATATCATCCTTATCCCAAATTACCTTTCTTGGTCTGAAAGCTTGAATCACAAATTTCAATTTTAAAAACTGGGGGTAAAATAAGACAAGCTGAATTTTGCCTCCCTGCTAGCAGAACCTATTTTCCTTTTGTTTTGGTTGAGAGAGAAAAATAGACTGCTGATGTAGTACGTTATTTCTGTCGAGCATGCATGGCATAACTTAACAACGCTGTCATGATTTTGACAGCCACTCTCATCAAACGATGTTTGGCGCCTTGGTGTGTTACATTTGCTCATGCGCACTACATGTAATCGGTTAAAAAACGGTTTTAAAACTGGTTTTGTTTGTCCAAGATCGTGGACGGCKGTGTATCAAAGGAAACACTCTAGATCTGCAGAGTCTCSTTCCTCCCYGCCTGAAAGAAAGGAGAGAAAGAGAAGAGAGACTCTGCTAGCAGGGAAGAGTTTTGCTGGAATGAAAGGGGTCTTAATGTTTATCCTGCCACAAAATAAAAATTAGATTTGAAACCTATTCTTTATTCTTCTTCTTTTAAAATTAAAATTGCTGGAGATAGAAGTAAGGCTAAGCAGCATAGGTGGCAGAGCAATCAGAGTTCCATCAAAATGACATGAAATAACCATAAAATATAGCAAATAAAGGGGTTTAGTTTAGGACCTGAATTGCTTTTTCATGGGTTTTATATTGGTAGTGGGTCGACTTGACTCAATAAAGGTCTCCTAGCTGCTCTGCCACCCATTTACGACTAAATCTTTACTTAATTAATACTTATAAACACTTAATCTAGCAAGCTGAAGATCCTGATCCTAAACCAGATTCAGAACAACTGCAACAGCAGCAACTTGAACAACAACAACAACAAGCCTCACCTGAAGTCAATGTAAGGCATTTTCTTTGGTAAATGGCATGTTGAGTACTGTTGATATAGAACGTCCAGTGCAGATTTGTGCCAATGCTTTCACGTATAAAACAATGCTTTATGTGGGTGTCCATTGTTTATTTCTTGTTTTTTTTTTGTTTTTTGTTTTCACCGTAAAGTGTTTTTGTTACCTGTGTGAGTTTTACTTGCTTAGATGACTTGCAAACCTCCATCAACTAGCTACTGTTTTTCTTTGGTTAAAAATGCACCTAATCCCTGATACAATACTTTAACACTATCCATTTTATGATTACAAACTAGCCATCAAATTTACAATAAATATGATATTGTGAAAGTATGATGATGATGCATTTTAATAATGACTGTTTGTGTGAACCAGTCAAAATTTGTATATTTAATGAAGCCTGGGCCGACGTCGCAGGGTGGATGCCATTTTTTTCACCATCTTCTTACCTTTTACGAATTTCCTATCGTATTGACAAGAGGCAACAGCTTTAACAGTCATCCATGTTTTAAGAATCCTTGATATAACCCCTGCAACTTTAACTATCTTTTCTCTGCAAGTAACACGGTCCCGGGGGAGGGGGGGGACTCCGGGGAAAAAGTACTGGGGATGCTCATCGGAAAATTTTCAAAAAAAACCCTAAAAGATACTGGAAGTCTTTAAAAAAGGGCGTGGCTGAATGATTTTAACCCCTAAGAGATACCACGACAAATAATATTAAATTTTATATAAAACCACCTAGGATAAGCCATATCGATGCGCGCTTCTCTCCTTTTCCAACACCCTAAGAGATACCAGAAAATGCTGATTTTCAAAAYTTCGCGTTTAACACCCTAAAAGATACCAAATYGCGAATTTTTWCCCCTAAGAGATACGGCAAGCATCACCAGTACTTTTTTCCCAGAGTTGTCTCCTTCCCCCCAGAGAACAACATCTACTGAGAAGCTCCCTACATTTAAGTAAGCAAAACTTGACACAGGAGACTTTTTGTTGATTTGTTTGTTTGTTTGTTGTTGAAACTTACATAAAACTATAAATAAAATAACCCTCAATATGGACTGAGATAAGAACTAACTATATTTATAAACTAACTTTATAGAACTAAATTTATTACTAATAGCCGGTTACTTTACGACCATAATAATTAAGAAAGGCACGACATTACGTTACTTTATTTATTTGTTTCAACCTTTAAACTTATTTTAGTTTTGAAATTGAAAAAAAGTAAACRTCATAAAAGATTAACGTATTTAGATACATGCGTGATCATTCATAAAACAATAGATCTAATCAATATGTAATGTCTTTAACATCCCATATTAATAATTTTTTTTGTTCCAATTTCCTTGTGGTGTTCTCCTTCATTTTTCAAACTTCTTTTGCAYATTTTACTTTTACCAAGAATCTAGATACAACTTCACCCGGCTTATCATGGCATGTTATCATGGGTTATAAATTTGTATGTGCTCTGCTTTGTAACGTTATCTTACTCTTGCCATTACATTATATTGTGGGGGGGGGGGGGCGCGATTTGACAATGAAATGAGATATAATTGCTAATTATACAATAGATTGTCTGATCTATCCACACCTTTGAGTCTCTCATTGTTTAATGTCTTTAAGAAAAAAATTCTGTTAAGTGAATTTAGATTCCTTGAATACTCACCTGTATCTTAGGAAAAGTCTACTTGTTTGACTTGAAATTCTGAGGCTATTACCTACAGTGTGATTGAAGTCCTTGGTGTCAGCCCTACGTGCCACACAGGTGTAGAGGATAATGATRATGAAAGTGTGAGTGCATGAGGGACTGATTATTTTTTTGACTAATTGTTGTGTTTAGTGCCGAGAAAGGTATGAAGACGATCCCCCATTTATCAAAGCCACAGGTGGAAAGTTACATGAGTATCAGATGGAAGGACTCAATTGGCTGAGGTTCTCATGGGCTCAGGGCACTAACACCATCCTGGCTGATGAGATGGGTCTAGGGAAAACCATCCAAACAATAGCATTCCTCTATTCACTCTTTAAAGAGGTAAATTACAGTGACTTAGTTCAAGATGTTTTATTCTTTATTTGAATGTTTAAAATGCTCCAAAAAACTATTTAAACTGGCTATTTCAATCTTGTCTCRTTTTAACGTTTATGAGAACCAAAAAAATAGTTTATAGGCATTTTATTGTTTTTATGCATTTCCTTCAATTACAACTTGGTACTACTTATTTCTAATATTAAAAGTGTTTGTTTATAGAGGATAATGCTTGACAGTAATTCAACTGATCAACTTTTGTTCCTCTTTAACATCTCTAGTTGATYAGGGAGAAGTGGGGCCGCCATTAACATTGTCATCCAAGACCTTCAGATTTGCATACAAAGGCAACAACCCTTYRATTATTTTAAGACCCTGGCCCGGCTGGGACTCGAGCAATGTTCTTCAATACATATTAACTCTCACATTATTAATCTTACTGCTGTTTATGATAACATTGTTTCTAATAATTGGATTTTTAGGGACATTGTCAAGGACCATTCCTTATAAGTGCACCTCTATCAACCCTAATCAACTGGGAAAGAGAGTTTGAATTTTGGGCTCCTGATATGTATGTAGTGACTTATGCAGGTGACAAGGACAGTAGAGCTACTATAAGGTAACCTTAATTAGAGCTGTTCATTTTTTTTTGACGTCGATGGTTTGAATTCGAGACTGAACTTGATTCTTTTATTAATCAAGTTCAACCTTGACTTGAAACCATTGTTTCGTGGTCAGTCAAGCGAATTCGGGATAGGTCTATTTAGGACACAAGTATCTCCCAGTCTGGGTATCAAACCTAAGACCCCAGAGGTGGGAGGCAAGTGCACTGTTGCTACGACAGTAGGACAGTAGCAGCTTTAGTTGTTGACAGTCATTCATGATTGAACTTCTGATGAATTAATTAATCCTAACTTATAGTTTATTTAATGGTATTTACATGTGATGACAATAATAACCTTAGGTAGAGACACGTTTAAGTGTCGTCAGTGCACCATCACCAAGCAAAGTGAATGTTAGTGTCAAGAATGTCACTAAGAATTTGCACAAGGCTAAACAAATCATTTTGCCCTAAGTGAATCAGCCTGGGTCTTCTTTCACCAACAGCAGCGTCTCATGACATTTGATTTTTTCATGCAACAGGAACTATGATTTTTCTTTTGATGATGATGCAATCAGATCAGGTCATAAACCTCACAAACTAAAAGTAGGTACTATTCATTTAGCAAAGGTCTGTCTAATTATGGCATATTTCTTTGGTATTTTGCTTTCTGTCTGCAGCATCCAAATATTAACGATCGACAGGAAAGCAATTGTTGATAATTATGCTTTTCGAGTGAACGCTTAGGGAACAGGTCGAAAGGACTTCACACACCATCCTTCCCCCCACCCTTACCCAAAACCTTTTATGCTGCTCATCCTTTTATTCCTGGCCATTGTTGACGTCTCATTGATCAAATGGAATATTGACTTCGTCAGAGCCTAAACTAAAAAACTCCCAAGTTTACTTAGGATCTAGGTATAACTTACATGTATCGTAAAATAATGAAATATTTTTTTGTAGTATGTAAATGTAACAGCAGGAACTTGTGGATAAATYGAATCACCATAAAAAGCTTTGTGAAACTGAARTTTCGGATGTTAGTCCTTATCTTTGAAACGTCAGTTTCACAAAACTTTTTACAACTGTTTTATTCAGAAACACTGATGCAGGCCATGCTAGTACTCTTCTAGTTATCATGTAATAATAGTTCATTTTTGTATAAAATATTGTGCAAAATAAAACTGAACTGAGCAAGGACAAGGGTTGGTTGCTCATCCTCAACTTCATTGTTCATGTTATTTATTATCAAGGTGACAGAAATCAAGAGCTACCAATATAGACTATTTAATACTGTCTTATATTTAATTGCATTATAGAAAGAGTGTCCCATCAAGTTCCATGTGCTTCTGACGTCCTACGAGTTGGTTTCTATTGATTCTAACACATTACAGTCCATTGACTGGGCTATGCTGGTGGTTGATGAAGCTCATAGGCTCAAAAACAATCAATCTAAGGTATATATGGACTATGCTATAATAATTCATCTAAATGTCTGTTTCAATTGAAAAACAGTGCTCATGCAAAGATAACTTTWAAAAAACTAACCTGAGTGGCTTCTCAATGGGCTATAGAGCTGCACTGCAGTACTATATCAAGGGAGGTGCATAACTTGAAGGAAATTTCTGTTGACCAGACAGGTTGACTTTTGATTTATGCGCATCTGAGTCCAGGATTCTTTTTTCTCTTTGCAATCCCTAAATTTCAAAGTTTTCAAAGTTCAATTTCCTTATAATTATGATGCCTTGAAATGAGAATGAAGATGTATTATATTATTGATATAAATCCATATGAAATGAATAAAGTATGACATATCTGGATCTATTAATATATTTTGTTCCTCTTAATTCTAAGTTCTTCCGATGTCTCAGTGACTATGCCATTGATTACAAGCTGCTATTGACTGGCACCCCATTGCAAAACAACCTTGAAGAACTGTGGAATCTTCTTAACTTCCTTGATCCTGACGAGTTCACGTAAGATGCAAATGCTAAGTGTTATGTTTGACTATGATAATTGCATGATTAATTTGTCCTTGTTTTCAATTGTGATGGAATCAGAGATGAATTCGGGGTTGGAAGCATGCAAGAATAATTACAAGTGAAAACCGCTTGTCATAAACGTAAGCACAAGCAAAGCAAAAGGGAATCTTCCCCTTCTGTTTCTAATTCACTTCTGGCTCCGTTTTCTTGTTTTCCCTTTTTAATATGCTGCTTTCACTCTGACTCTGATTCCGTCACAAGTAATACAAGAAAATATATTGAATTATAAATTGAACTTTCACACTTCCTTWAGCTATRTTTACATATAGTAGAGTTTACAGTTTTCATTAGACCTGATGATGTTGTTGAGATGACAGCGAAACGTCTTTTACAACTAGTTTTCTTATTTAATTGTATTCCTGAAAGTACCTTTATCGAATTATAAATTCCAGGAAATTGTGTCAGTCAGACCAGAAATTGTGCAGATCCTTCATTGGTACTTTTTGTACCCAAGCTAGACCAGAATGCACATTGTTTTTATTTTCTATAATTATTATGTTCTTCATTAAGTTTGTCTAAAATGCCACCTTTTCTTYGGAGCATTTCCTTTGACTCAAATACTACCCTCCCCCACCCCCTTCGCCCATAGACAGTAGGTGCAGAAATTTTGCAACTATGGAGYTCCTTAGTTTGTGCTCAATCTTGATATCTATTACAGGAACAAGAATATCTTCCTTGCTGATTTTGATAATGTGGCCAAAGAAGACCAGATAAAGAAGCTCCATGATATCCTTGGTCCACACATGTTAAGGAGACTGAAGACTGATGTACTCAAGGGAATCCCCTCCAAGAATGAGTTAATTGTTAGAGTAGAGCTGAGCCCTCTACAGAAGTAAGTTTCATGAATCCTGTTACTATACATAGTATGGGAGAGTTAGTTACTCCCTCACTCTAAGCATAAATCCTTCCATTGCTGTTTATTCCATGTTGAACAGGGCGGTTAAGATGGRTAATGTATGAAACTAAATGCTGCAGTTTGCTGTCCAACATCGTGGTGTTGCAAGTTGCAGAGCACACAGGACACATTTTCTTCATTACATTAAGATAAAGAAAGAAACAAGCATTTGCTCTGCAGCTTGCAATAGAAGAATATCTTGCTATGAGATACATAATTGGTTGTCTGTATTATCACACCTAAGATTTCTATACTACAGTAGTCTGTCAGTAATGACTGTCAGCTCTCCCAAAAGATTATTTGGATCGATGTGTCTACCTCACCCCAAGCCCGATGCACCTAACCCACACACTCACCAACACTTAAGAAGAAATTCAGGGTTCCCAGGGGTCAGAGAAAAAGTCAGGGAATTTTTTATTATTTTTTTTAGTCGGGGAAATTGCAATTTTCACCTAAAGTCAGGGAAAAGTCAGGGAATTTTGTTCAAAGTTAAMCATGAGTATCCGTGTGATACTCATACTGTTTGCAATTTTCGAATAGACTGATAAATCTTTTCAAATAATGAAAAAGCAAATTGAAGTATTTAATAATATTTATGCCGGACAGTATAATTATGTTGGGTATCCTGTGTAATATAATAAGAACAGGGCCTAGGTAAAAGTTAGGCATGTGGCCCTTGCTCGCCCATGCGGCCCAACAAAGTCAGTGAAAACTGTTATTTAGTCAGGGAAAATTCAGGGAAAAGTCAGGGAATTTTTGTTTTCAAAATGACTGGGAACCCTGAAATTGTTATCTGCTTTTGATTGGCAGATCTATTATTTTAAAGCAATGCATTATTGAAGGTTTGTTGCTATGTATTATTAGTATTATTTACTGACTAGTTTACTGTTGCTTGGCAGAAAATATTATAAATGGATTTTGACGCGTAACTTTGAAGCCCTAAACACCAAGGGAGCACAACAGGTGTCTCTTCTGAATATCATGATGGAGCTGAAGAAGTGTTGTAATCACCCTTACCTTTTCCATGCTGCTGCTTTGGTAAGAATTATTATTTAGATGTTACTTAGACCTTTTCTAAGATAGGGAACATGGTAGATWATGGTCTAGCTTGGGTACAAACATGTTTTGCTCATCATGCCGATGTTTGTACTGAATGTAGACCACAATGCATCCTTTTTATCAAATTCAGAAAAGGCTTTAAGTATGCGTTTATAAAATTTTAGTTACTTCATGTGTAATGCTTTTCGCAGGCCCTAGATGCATRAATATAAACCCAACTTTTCAGATAACAAACAGTGGCATACTCCAACCCCACTCCCCCTCTCCTCTGCCCCTCCCCCCTTCCCCTGTCAACCCCCCTCTTTGACCCCTAAGGCAGACTGTCTGGCTAATGGTATAAAAACAAAAACAATCCATCTTTATTGGTATTCAAACTAATTGTTAGTATTATTTTTCTTCAAGGATGCTCCAAGAACAGTGAATGGAGGGTATGAGGTTAATGGTCTTACACAAGCTAGTGGTAAACTGAACCTACTTATGAGCATGATGAAAAAGCTGTGTGAGCAGAACCATAGAGTACTGATTTTCTCCCAGATGACACGCATGCTTGATCTGCTGGAAGATTTCCTGGAAGGACATGGTTATAAATATGAGAGAATTGATGGGTCTGTGAATGGAGCAGCAAGACAGGAAGCCATTGACAGGTTTAATGGTAAGTCAGCATATTAATATGATGTGCAGGGGCGGCATGTGATACTCTGTCATTCTCTTACTACTGTGTAGTTCATGCCTGTGGCCGCAAGACTTGTTATAGACACTGAACCATATAATTCTGCGAGTTGAGTTTGATGTGTTTTTTTATGTGATGGGATTTATCTCAAGGTCTGTCTGGGGCTTATATTTTATTATCTGTTTAAAAATCTCTCTCATTTTGCATTCTTAGCTCCTAATTCGCAAGCCTTTTGTTTCCTGCTGTCTACTCGTGCTGGTGGTCTGGGTATCAACTTGGCAACTGCCGATACTGTGATTATTTATGACTCTGACTGGAATCCTCATAATGATATACAGGTAAGATGATATTGGAAGCAGTGTTATATTTTAGTCATCTTGGCTCTTRCATCTTTTTGTTGTATTTTTAAGTAATATAACTAGTTTGATTTGATTATTTAAAAATATATCTTTTTTGAAATTTAGGCTTTCAGTCGTGCCCACAGGATTGGACAAAACAACAAGGTACTGTTACCACCACCAATAAATAATATCTCCTTGAGTCAGCTAATTTAAGGGTTGGAAAAGGCTGCATTCATTATTTAAGCAATTATTTTCCACCACGATTTGTCTTACTATTTCTACRTTTCACATATTTTATATTTTAGGTTATGATATATCGCTTTGTGACAAGATCCTCGGTTGAAGAAAGAATAACCCAGGTATTCATTGTTAAGTTGATATATTATATTACTCTAGGCCAAGGCTGCAAATAAGTACCAGTCACCAGACGAATTTCCAGTAAACATGACCAATTGGCTGGTAAACAATCCAATTTTTCCTGGACATTCGACCAGCCACACTTTTGACAAGTCAAATAATGCTTCTGGCCTGACAAATGACCTGCATATAAAACAAAGATAGTTATAGGTTTGCTTGGCAGGTTTGCTTGGCAGTTTTGCATACATTCCCTTTACTCTTGACTACAGTGCAATCAAGCTGTACTAATTTGCATTCAGGCATCCCAGACCTCATATATATCCTATATTTCCTATAATTTTTATAGGATCCTATAAAGAGCCTATATTTAAAGAAAACCTCCTAATAGTATATATTTCCTATAAATAGGACAACTGCTGAGTGATTCATTTATGTTTTACACTGTTTAGCATATTTGGCGAAGGAAATAAAATGCCCCCCCTTTTTTTTTTGGTTCTGTTTTTTTTTTTATGGCATTTTAGTTCTGCAAACCATTGCCTGTGCACCCTCCCGATCCCTGGTTACGCCACCGAAAAGCTATCTTAGCTCCTATAAAGTGCATATATTTTTGGGAAAAAATCCTATATTTTCCTATATTTAGAACTTGCACAGCCTATATTTCCTATCAAATTTGTCTAAAAAGTGGCTGGGATGCCTGTGCATTGTTAACCTTTTTTCTTTAAATAATATTATTTAATAGTTACATTGAATTTCTTTACTTTAATGCAAGAAACTTATTATTTTTTGCTACACTATGAAGCACTTGACTTATAACTACATGACATACCTTTTTTATTAGTAAAATGGTGTTCAAAATATACTTTAATACATTTTATCCAATACTTATTGGATTACTTTATACGATGCAGTTCAAACACAAAGTTTACCATTCATTGTCTTTGTTTGCACTTTACTTGATGCATTTCTGATTTAATTTTTAACTTTTGCAGGTTGCCAAGAGGAAAATGATGTTAACTCATCTTGTAGTTCGCCCAGGAATGGGGTCCAACAAAGCTACCATCATGTCCAAAACTGAATTGGATGACATATTGAAGTTTGGAACATCACAGCTCTTCAAAGATGACCTTGTTAAGGAAGGAGGTGAGGTGTCGTACCTAGAACTTGCTGTTTTGTTTTGCTTTTGCTTTGTTGTTGTGAGTTTTTTGTTTCTTTTCTTCTGTCAGTTGCCAATGACATCACTTTACTAAGGGACTGAATACAGGGATCATATTACTGTCGTTACCCTAACTGTGAACACTCAAGTTTTTGGGGGGGGGGGGGGGGGTACTCTTGCCCGTTTAGGGTAGGTATGTGACGCTGAGCCCACTGAACCCTGACCCTGTTCCAGAGTAAAATCTCTAAAATTCATACCCTGTTCCATAGCAAAATCGCTGAAAATCATACCCTGTTCCAGTTTTGCGAAAATGGATACCCTGTTTCAGAGAGGAGAGAGCGTGATTTCATATACCCTGTCCCAGAGTGAGCACAATTTCATATACCCTGTTCCAGAGTAGAATCGCTAAAAAGCATACCCTGTTTTGCGGCACATACCCATATCGCGAATATAGGGGAGTACCCCCCTCCCCCCAGGAGTTTTTCAACCAATCACATTGTGAATCGAAAACAATATATAAGTTGAGTTACATGTATAATTGAAAGTCTGTAAAAACTATTCAAGGAGATGTAATGGTAAAAGAGAAAGAAAAAATATATAAGTATATTTGCACAAAATAGAGAAAATAAAAWAAAYWTGAGTGTTCACAGTTAAAGTAGAACGACAGTAACACAGAAGTTCATTACCATTCATTTAATATACTCATATTTGTGTGTTTGGTTTAGAATCAGCAGACAGYGTAGTGTTCCACTATGATGACAAGGCAATAGACAGACTGTTAGATAGGGACCAAGCTGTAGTTGATGACGATGAAACAGAAGAGTCTATGCTGGCTAATGAGTACCTGGCATCCTTCAAGGTATGACTTTTATTTTCTTCTCTCGATATGGTTTCCTCTTTACAAGCATGGTGGTGTGGCACTCTGTGTAACCACTGTTAAATATCATCATTATCATCATTGTCGTCATCATTATCATCATTCATCGTTAACATTACATATCATTACTTTTTTTTCATTTTTGATTTTTAAAGTTTAGTGCATTTTAGTAGTTTTGGTATTTTTTTTACAATCCTAAATTTGTAAAATAATTTATTCCTTATTTAGTAATTATCGTTATTAAACTCATTAATAATTCATGAGGAAAACAGATACAGAATCCTGTTCATTTGCATAAACTTTAAGATGGATTTTCTTGGCAAGATTCACTTTTATCTTGAAAATTTTAGCGAAACACAAAGGAACTAACCTAGACGTATGATAAGTAATATACAGTATGAGTGGCCGTGTTGTATCCAATATTCAAACTCATGGCTACGCCTCAAGTTTGTATATCGGATACAACACAGCCACTCGTACTGTCTATATTACTTGTTGTTGTTGTTGTTGTTATTACACCTTTTGCTGCTCATTAACCGCAAAGGAATATTCATTGAAGCAAAGAAGCATTGTCATTAGAGCGAACCGGCATACAATAAGGCGAACGGAGTCTCAAGAGTGCGATGGAAGGTTCATTAAGAAATTTAGCATTGAATTTGACAATCATGAATATGTTTGTGTGGGTTCATTAACGTTTTCAAACTTTCATTAGCGTTTTGGTGCAGACAATAAACCACAGCACACATTCAATACAGTGTTTTGGACATTTATTTACACAATACAATATAAGCATATTGTGCTTTTTAACGATTGTAGATTTTCAAAAACAAAAAAAGGGAATTTATCCTTGAATGTGTTCTCTATTTAAACATCTTGGACGATATGTTT